CCCACTTTTCCATGTCATATTATAAGAATGATGAAAACTACTTTAAACTGATAGAAACTACTTTAAAGCAATAAAAAAACAAGAAACTTTTAATATAATAAACCAAAATTACTGTAACGTTTCAAATAAAATCTGTGCAATGCTAGAAAGTCTAAATGTCTTGCTTTGCCCCAGGTTACCCTATAACTCTTTTTTTGTTTAAACTGTTTTGTTTTGAATTTTTGTATATATGTTATTGTATTTTAAAAAATTTACAAGATTGAAAAAATACGAAACATATTGTCTCATCCAAGTGGAAAATTTGAAACTTCAATTTTATATTTGCCTCTCTCTTGATAATTTCTGATTGCTAAAGTTACGTCATCTTCTTAGTTCCGCCATTAGTTTAGCGTTACCTACAAACATTAGTAAGTGTAAACTTTTTTAGCAGTTGTTGAATTTGCAGGTGGTATATGGAACAACCGCGTATAATATATGTATAATATAAGAAAACTTTAAAATTTTATTTTGGCAATCAGAAGATATTTTTGTAATAAATGTATAGCCAAGATTGAAAAAATTTCAAAATTTGTTATGCTTAATTGAAAAGTCATGAACCTTGCAAAACGACACTGATGCGCTAAACCATTGAGGTATCAATGATATACGTTCAGGAGAAAAACAAATCTAGTTTTAAGTTTCTTATAACCTTGATGTATATGGAAAACGTGCGCATAATAGTTTTTTGCTCTAAAAGCATTTTTTTTAAATGAACTATTTTACTAAAAAATTTTGAAGTAAATAAGGATTAGGTGTATAAATGATCGATGTGGAATAGATATGTATAGAAATGAAAAGTTTGGTAAAAACTCCTATTTAGGACCGTACCGGTCTTTCATGGGCGAGGAAGGGGGTGGTGGTGGGGTAGCAGGGGTTTTGTATGTTTTTTTTTGCCAACTAGAAACACCGAAAAAAAAAAATAAGGTCCTCAATATTTGCAATTTGCCAACAAAAGCTCAAAACCTGCTCAACTATGCCAACTCAATTGCTTATATGACGGCTTTGGGGGTGGGACACCCCCTACACATCCCTCCTTCGGGACAGCTCTGCCCCTATTTAACAGGTCCGGAAAGCTAGAATATATAAAAAAAAAAAGTATAGAAAAGTTCTGTGTGGAATAGACTTACAAAGACCTGTATTTTTACCGGTCTGGTCATCAAAGTGTTATTATTAATACAATTCTTTATACTTCAAATAAATATGATTAAAACAAATATGATTATAAATGCAAGAAAAGACACCCCAATGGGAAAAAAGACGTCGAAAAGACGTCTTTGAAAGTCTTATTTACGATGTCTTTAAGACGTCTTTTTTTAATCGATTATGCAAATTTAAAAGACATCTTTTTTTGACATCGAAAAGACGTCTTTTTTATCTTAATCTTGTCATGACAAGACATAAAAAATGCGTCTTTAAGGCGCCTTTTTTCAATCGAATATGCAAATCTAAAAGACAACTTTTTTCGACATCGAAAAGACGTCTTCTTTAAATTTATCTTGTCATGAAAAGACGTAAAAAATTTAACACGTCTTTCTTTATCAATTATGCACTTCTAAGTGTTTATTTCTCGGGGTCGGAACTATTTTTTTTGTCATACTTTTTAGTATACAATAATATCTTATACACTATAGTATTACTACTTTTCATATATGAAAAGCTGTTTTTATCAAATGAAAATAATGGCTCTTTATACTAAGTATGACAAATATCTCTTTCCGATGCCGAGAAAAAAACCTCTTCTAGATGTAAATGTAAAAGAGGAAGATTTTCTACATCTTTTATATGTTTAAACATAGGAAAATACTTTATAAATAAAACAACAGTATTGTTCAACAGAATATTATTTCATCTTTCTCTTTTTTTTCTGTTTTTTGAGCGAGCTCTGTTTTTTGGCGTTGTTGAATAAAATTAACTATTTCACGTCGAGAAACCCTTTTATACGAGCTGGTTACAACTTCTAAAAAACGAGTGAATATAAAAAAACAGTCTATTGCTTGAATGTAATACAAAAAAGCAAATGAAACTTAATTAGCTGAATGAAACACATTACCAACTTACCGACTATTAATTGAAAAAGGGCTAATCCTTTTCACCCCCTCATGTTTCCAGCACGGTCCTTTCTTTTTAAACCCACTAGGTTGGATTGGAACAGGAATAAACAGTCTAAAAATTTATAGCAATGAGTGTGCTAAAGAAAATTACGACTTTCAAAATGACTGTACAACGATGTATTTTATTATGTAGTACTTAAACCAAGTTAAATATTTGCACCTCTCAAATTTGCTATGAAAGCCAAGTTATTGAAAACAGATATTGATATTTTTCTGTCTTCTATGACGTGACTTTTTAACTGAATTTTGCTGAAATTAAGTGCTGTAGACTCATAACAATTTTAAAATCCGTTCACTAAAGAAAATCATCAAAAGTCATCAAAACAAAAAGATAATTCAGTTAATACATCTTGAAAGTTGTTATTTATTTAAACTGGATAAAAGTATTAATCAAAGCTCTATTTAGCCTGAAACATAATGATGCTTTACTTAACAACATAAAATTATAAAAACTGGCGTTATCATTAGCAAAACAGATGAAATACACATAAATAAAGACTAGCAAGCTGCAATGATGTTTAGTAATAAGAAAGTCTACCTTTCTAGTATCATTTTCACGTGGTTTTTTGTATCTAAACCAAAAGTTTTGCAACCAGTTCTAAAGATAAATTTGTTGTCATTATGTGCATTTTTGTACTTGCTTTGTTAACGACAGACAACAGTTAACAAGAAAATAACAATTTTGACATAAAAATTAAAGAGCCAATCTTTTGTATAAACAGTTTCATCATTCAACTAAATAAAAACAACAAAATTATTCAGATCATTTAAAAATATATATAAAAAAATTGCAAGCCTACTGAATGCTTCTTTTTTTCTATCGTTTGTTTCACTGGCACTTGAACAAGTAAATACTGACAGAAATTGTTTACAAGTTTTCTTTTTCGTCTGAAAATAAATATTTTAATTTAAAATAACACATTAAAAAATTAGTCCAAAAATAAACGGTAAAACACTTACCTGCGGCTAACTTAATTGAGACTAGATTATATCGATACCATCTTACTGGCACCACGCCATCCACTTTTTGCTTCTTCCCATTAACATTTTCTAGCTAAACAGCTGCAAATATATCTTATAGTATATATATATACAAATATATATATATATATATATATATATATATATATATATATATATATATATATATATATATATATATATATATATATATATATATATATATATATATATATATATATATATATATATATATATATATATATATAGATATATATATATATATTACAATTTTAATTACCTCGTCTCTTAAGCTGTATTTGATTGTCATTAAAATGTCAAAGCAATTAAATTAATGCAGAAGTACATTAAATTTTATTGTTTTTTAAAAAAACCGCAATAATAATGACTACAAAGTTTTTTTAATTAGTCGCGTTTTTGTTTTTGTTTTATTAAAAAACATTTTTAAAACATTTGTAAGTGTTGCTACATCGACTATCTTATAGTCTGCTGCTACAAGGGAGTGTTGCTATATCGAATATCTTATAGCCTGACTCGCAACGGAGTGCTGCTACATCGACTGACAAATAGCCTGACTCGCAAGGGAGTGTTACTACATCGACTGACAAATAGCCTGACTCGCAAGGGGGTGCTGCTACATCGACTGAGGGTTTGGTATATGCAGGCAGTCTATCATTTAAAAAAAAAAAAATATCCTGAAGTTTTTTTAACATTTTCTGGTCAGGCTTATTAACGCGCTCTTTAAAACAACAGTTTATGGCAAAAACTTTGTGTTTACCATGCAAGACTATATGTGTGTGTGTGCGCGCGCGCGCGTGTGTGTATTTATGTAAATATACGAGTGAAAATGTGTTTATGTAACTTTTTAACATTTAATAAAAACACACATGAAGACTTGACTAACCAGTAATAAAATATGCACCGCAAATAAAAGCAGACTCTAAATTTGGCATATCTGCATATTTAAGAACGCAATCCATAACTTCCTTTTCTCTTTTTCTTTCGGAAACCTATGAAAAGGAATTGCGCTAGCTTTCATTTTTCTATTTTCACAGCATGGTGAGCATACTGTGATACAATATTTGTTTACATCTCTTTGCCACCCATCTTGTCGGATATAAACTTTTGCGGACGTTCGGTACTCATTTGAATATCATGAATAAAGATTATATAAAAAAAAAATCTTCAACATTTCTTCGGATTGATATACTGAAGTATTCACCTCATTGTGATATCAATGTACAAGAGTTCATCTTATAAAACGTTTTCTTTACATAAAAAATAAACGCTTAAATTTTGGACGTAAAACAACTAAAAAAGACGTCTGAAGCCTTGAAATGGCGGCTCTATGTTTTTTAAAAAAGTTGCAGGCACTAGCATTTCTCTGATCTGACAGTTTTCAGCGTTGATAATCCCATTGTTGAATTGATAATTTTATATTTGTTGTCAATTTTTTTTTTTAACAGAAAGAAATATATTTACTCAAGAACAGTGAAAACTCATTTTTGCATTGTTAATAGTTTAATCCTTTACTCCGAGAAAATTTTTATATTAAATAATCATTTTGATGCGGTATAGAAACTAATATATATATATATATATATATATATATATATATATATATATATATATATATATATATATATATATATATATATATATATATATATATATATATATATATATATATATATATATCTTTTTTTACGATTATATACGATCTTTTTTTAACACATTAAAATATATATATATATATATATATATATATATATATATATATATATATATATATATATATATATATATATATATATATATATATATTAATGTGTTAAAAAAAGATCGTTTTTAATCATTGATTTGTTTGAAAAAAAATAGCTTTGAGCTTTTCATTGCGACATGTTCAATTGAAAAATATATTTTAAGATAATGCAAACGATAGTGTGGATTACATAACAACAGTAAGAATAAAGTTAAGAATAATGATAACAAAAATGATAAAATAATTTTTTGTTTGAACTTTTTCGGAAAGCTATTTATTTCAATTTTTATCAGGGGCGGACTGGCCAAATTATTATGATGTGGAAAAATATTTTTAACGGCCCTGTAGGCCAACGAAAAATGAGGAAAAGCAGCAAAGATAACAGACGTAAATTACAAAGTTATGCTTAATTTATAAATATATACATTAATGAATAAATATCGAACAGAAAAAATTTATTAGAATACATATACGTAAAAACAAAGTACTTAACAAGGGCCCATGTGGAATAGTCCACATCTTCCACATGGCCAGTCCGCCCCTGATTTTTATATTTTAGATATCTTCATAATATCCAGTCAGTAATATCTATGTTTTTTAAATAAGCCGTCAGTAGGAGTTTCAGTAATACTAATTTTGTACAAAGGTAAAGTAACTATATTTTTAAATTAACCAGTATATGTTTTGTTATGGTATACGGTAATATCTGAATCGTGAATAATAGAAACATCGAGACATGTCGAGATACATGTTTGTTGACCAATCAAAAACTATTTTTTTATAAAAAGGCACTGAAAACGAGTGTTCTCTTATATATAGTATATTTATTAGTGGGAGTATATGTATAAGTGGGAGTTGGTAATATTATAAAAGCGACGAGTAAGATCAGATTCATTGTTGTACGTTGTGCTAAACTATTTTTTATGTTTTAATTGTTTTAACTCTTGAATTTTTATATGCATAAGTAATAGTTTTGTAATAAAGCAGATGCATTATTTTCCAGAAATGATTTTTTTTCGAGGTAATTTCAAACCAAAAATTTTAAATGGTTTAAATCAAGTGTTCACTTTTTCAAAACTTTTTATTTATATGACGTTAAATTAACTTGATGTTCTTTCACATAGTTCATAAAAAAAAGTAAGTGTAGTTCCTAACAGTTTTATTTGATATTAATATTATAATATTAACAATAATAATAATAATCAAAATAATAATAGTATTATATATATATATATATATATATATATATATATATATATATATATATATATATATATATATATATACTATTTTATATTTATACATATATATTATTTTATAAATAAATATATATATATATATATATATATATATATATATATATATATATATATATATATATATATATATATATATATATATATATATATATATATATATATATATATATATATATATATATATATATAAAATAGACGTTAAAATTACAATTAAAATTACGGTGGCGTGAGTTCTAATGACTCCATGGAAACAAAACTTTAAGTTTTAAGAGTATCACGTGGCGTAAAAGTGATCCTGATTGGTTTACGTCACTTTTATGCAACGTGATACTCTTAAAACTTAAAGTTTTGATTCCATGGAGTCATTAGAACTCACGCCACCGTAATTTTAATTGTAATTTTAACGTCTATTTTAAATTTTGTAATATATGGCTGATGATTGCCGTTAGGCATGAAACTTAAAGTTCCATAATAAAAGTTTTTTCTTTTTTCGTTTTTAATTATAAACCGCTCTTTTATGAAATTTAAATATAATCAAAATAAATTTCTTAAATATTGAGCACTTTTCAACGAACCAGAGTTGTGTATTATTTTAATACAACACTACATAAAACGATATATATATATATATATATATATATATATATATATATATATATATATATATATATATATATATATATATATATATATATATATATATATATATATATGCCCAGCTAGCACATTAACGTTGGCCCAACGTCGGATCCATGTCGAAAAAATCGTAGGCCGATGGTCGGGAACCGACGTTGCCACAACGTGGATTTTGAAGTTGGCGCGATGTCGCAGCCAACCGTTGGGCTAACGTTGGCCCAACGTCGACATCCGACGTTAGGCGAGCGTCGAAATTTTAACGTTGGCCCAACGTAATATTATTATATATAAGAATCTTTACAATTTTAATGTTCATTAAAACTATTAATTCGATTTTTTTTTTCCAAATAAGTTTGAATAATTTTTTTTCGTGATAAACGAAAATTGATTTTTATGCTGATAAATGAAGCTTGATTTCATAATAACACAGAAAATTAAACTTGTTGTAATAACCATTGTAATAACGTTGAAATATTCGTACAAATAATACACATATTAAAAAAATTAAAGTATTTTTTTCGACTGCTTAGCTTCTATACGAATCTTGAGTCTTTAATTTGCTTGAGAGGAACATTGATGTTCGAACGCTACGCATTATACGATTTGATAAAAAGCTCAGAACTTGCATCTTTTGTTTGATGTGCTTTTAGCCAATGCCATAACTACTGTTAAAATTATATATATATATATATATATATATATATATATATATATATATATATATATATATATATATATATATATATATATATATATATATATTATATATATATTTGCATATGTATAAAATAGAAATTAAAATAGTGCAAAAATCAGTTAAAGTCTTTTTTGCAACTTTAATATAATCTACATCTGTAAGAACTAACATATATGTACATAATACTTTATAAAATAAATGTAAAAAATAATAAAATCAAAATGATGTATTACCTGCATAAACATGGAGACAAATCACTACATTTTTTTAAGATCATATCTAAACGGAAATTTATTGAATAATAGTATCATTGCAAACATAAGAGTTAACTTGCATCAAAATTCCTTTTAAAGAAAGTTATATAAAGTTTGTACAAACATTAGTAGAAATCAAACTGACAAAAAGTCGTTCTGAGTCTGTTGTGAAATAATGTTCATTAAGATCATTGTCATATTTACTATTATTACCTCGAACAGGAAAATTTTCTCTTGCATTGTCATTATTACTTTCATATACATTGTCATCATAACAAATACTTTAACAATCATTAGAAACATTGCTGGATTACAAATTAATTTTCTGATCACAACTTTCAACATAAATTTTTTTTATCAGCTTGCTTTTTAACTCTTCTACTATTTGTTATATATGAAGCAGCCATCTAAATTAAAAGTGAAATAAAACTTAGTATCAGTTGCAAAGTAACTCATTAAAATTGTTTTAACAGATTTGCAGTGGACCTATATAGGCATTTTTTGACTGTTTATTGAGTTTTGCTTATGAGTTACTTAGCGGTGGACCATTAGTGGCATCTGCATTAAATAAGTTAAAGATCTGTCGATAAACTTCCAATATGTTAATAGTTGTTTGTCATCCGCCTGCCACTTTTGTTGGCTTCCACAAATCGTCCCCTGAGTAACTGTTGAGCAAAACTAGAGTGGTCTGCTCAAAATGACTATATAGGTCCAATGAAATTCTCAATATAGAATGTTTGCAGGGAATGCTATATTTTTATTTTTTTCCTATTACATAATTTATATTCTTAGTAACCTAACATTATTTTTCGATATTAATACTATTTAATTCTATATATTTAACTTTTATTTAATTCTATTATGATATTAATAACAAAAAAAGATCCAATTATTAAAAAAAAACAGTAAATTATTTAAAGTTCTTTAAAGATATTTTAAATTTAAATCAGATGCTTCAAATATCAGTTCAAATATCAGTTTAAAAAAACTCAGTTCAATAAAAATGATAACAAAAAATAATAATGAACTATAATGATTTTGACTAAGACAAATAAAATAAAAGTATTAGAGCATAAAAAGTTGTCTTGAAGCAAGATATGGTAGCTTTATAAAAGACTTATAGGAAAATGTTTGTGTTATAAGGCTTTTTGTAGATTCTCCTGCAACCAATGCTGCTCCATGAGGGGATATGTAAAATTATGCAACTACACAATTTTACTTAACACCCTTATGCAAATTGTGGTACCCTTAAGTTCTTGATAAACTATACTCTCTAAAATAATGTAGATAAACTTATTTAAAAGTTACTTAAACACCTAAAATATACATTTTTGTTGTATTTTGTACATAAAAAAATTATTTGACTTATGGTTCCATTTTATGTAAAAACCCTGTGACTGGTAAAATTTGATTTAAAAATCTTGAAGAAATAATTAATTAAATAAAGTTCTTATCAAAAATCTAAAAACAGTAGTAGTTAGAATATAACTACCAGTTTCAAATAAGCACAAAAATGCAAATAGAGTATTTCATACCTGTGCTCACTAAACAACAGCTAGTGTGATTACTTTTTACAACCATCTTGTCTCTTGATTCGATCTTTTTTGATTCCTTTATTACGACTTCATCTTAATATTCGACCATTACGAGTTCTAATTTGTAAATATATCTGCTTATGCTTTAAAATGATATCTTCACAACTTCTTTGCATAAACTTAATAGATAATAGCTAACAAATTTAAGCAAATGATTTTGTTATTTCGCATTAAAATGTTTGAAAATGATGCTTCAAAGATGTAATTATCAACTACAAAACAAATAACTAAATAGTTATTAAATACTTAAGTAAATCCTTATTTTAAAGAAAAATTATATACTATATAAAAATATACAAAATTTCCAATTGTTTTTTTATGATTTAATGTTATATCCAAAACTACTCTTGATTATATATATATATATATATATATATATATATATATATATATATATATATATATATATATATATAATATATATTAGGGTGTCCCAGCCGCCCCTTATATTCTAAAAAAAATCTTTTCATATTCTTAAAACTTTCTATTGGTTCTCACAAGCAACTCTGTTATATTTTTTCAAAATTTTATTCCATTTTGGGTGACCCTTGAACACTTACCGGGTCCCTAATAATATTAAAAAAAATTTTTCTCAAAAGTATGTCATGTTGGGTCTCAAAAAAAGCGAAATTATATAAAAATTCTAAAAATAACAATCATTTTATAAAAAAAATTATTATTATAGAGTTTTTTGCAGAAAAATGACCTTTTTTAATCTAAAAATAAAAAAAGTGTATTTTTCCGATAATTATAACAATAAAAAAAATTGAACAATAATTTTTTTTTAAATAAATGTTATTTTTAAAAAATTTATATAAACTTGCTTCTTTTGAGACCCAACATGACCTACTTTTGAGAAAATTTTTTTTTAAATATTATTAGGGACCCTTGTGCTCCCCTAAATCTGATAAAATTTTGAAAAAATTTAACAGGTTGCTTGTGAGAACCAATAGAAAGTTTTAAGAATATGAACAGATCTTTTTTAGAATATAAAGGGCGGCTGGGACACCCTAGTATATATATATATATATATATATATATATATATATATATATATATATATATATATATATATATATATATATATATATATATATATATATATATATATATATATATATATATTAACGAAGAAACTAATTCTATTAATTCAAAAAATACGCTGACTTAGCGAAATAAAGTTCTAGAGTATTCTGTTGAAATGGTTAGAAATTGTTATATTCACGATTTGTTACGTTTTGAGATTTCTCGTTTTCTTGTTTTAAAATTATATATTATTTGTTTAAAAAAATAAATATTTTAAATATATATTAAATTGTCAAAATTTCAAAATTTTATTATAATTTATAAATTGTTTTTTATCGTAATGTATCTTTTAAAGCAATTTTTATGATTTAAACAAAGACTTACAAAAATAATTGCGTTTTCAATGAAGTTATAATTGTTATAGTTAATAAAACTAATTATGTAACAAACATATAAGAAGTTTCTGGTTACTAAACACAAACAACGCATACAAAGTAACTTGCGGATGAACAAGCACCGCGCCTGAGGACAGAACACAAATATATATATATATATATATATAGCAAATAATTAGATATAAAGAAAAGTTTCTATATATTGGTTTACCAACTCTAATTATTTTCGCTTAAGTTGCCATCCTTGAAACTCGTTATACTTTTTTCTGCTTTAAATACTAATTAAAATTAAAAAGCCCACTCACTAAACATCATCAGCGATATTGTGAAGCAATTTCGCTTCCTCGTCATAATGTATTTTTCACCTTTTTAGTTGATTTCTATCTTGTTAATTTAATTTCTATAGTAATTCAATGATTTAATTATTTCATTTGTTTATCTTACTAAGAAGAATTGCTTTAAATATGTTTAACTTTTCAAACTACACGAAACATAAAATAGGTATTGAAAAAATTAACTTTTTTATTTATAAAATAATTTAGCTTAAATAAAACTAAAACTTGCGAACTTTGCTAAATAAAGAGCATTTGTTTCTTTTTTAAACAATCGTAAGTAGTTACTTTATGTAAAAACATCGCTTAATTTTATAAAAAAAATTACAAAAGAGCGATGTTTCGAAAATATTTGTTCTAAACGTAATTTATTTAGGTTTAAGTTTTTTCGCATTTAAAGATATTTTATTTGCCAAATTTTTTTTTTTTGTAATTGTTTCTCATCAGTCCAATTAATCTTTTGCGCTTTTTTTTTGTTGCTTTTTAAAATGTTCTCAAAACGACTAAAAAATCTGGCCAGCTTTTCGCAACTAAATATTATTTACGTGGTCAGCAATCGAGAGATCACTCCCGCTTCCCAACCAAGCCTGTATGTATGTACATATGTATGTATGTATGTATGTATGTATGTATGTATATATACACTTACTAAAGCATGTTTTGGTAAGCATTTGCTCACTTTTTCTGCTTACCTTAAGCTATACTGTTTTTTTCAAAAAAGAAGAAAAAATGAAGAATGATGAATGAAACGATTGCTTCTGAATCCCAAACCCTCAGTCGATGTAGCAGCACTCCACTGCGAGTCAGGCTATTTGTCAGTCGATGTATGTACTGAAGCCCCAGAAGCAGGCTATTTCAGTATGACGTCATTTGCTTACCTTAGTACGCAATACTATTTATATATATATATATATATATATATATATATATATATATATATATATATATATATATATATATATATATATATATATACAAATAGTATTGCTTTCTAAGGTAAGCAATCTGACGTCATACTGAAATAGCCTGCTGCTGGGGGCTTCAGCGCAAATGCTACATTGACTGAGGGTTTGGGATGGGGCAGCAATCGTTTCATTCATCATTCTTTGTTTTTTTCTTCTTTTTTTGAAAAAACCTGTATGGGTTAAGGTAAGCAAAAAAAGTAAGATATGCTTATAAAATAAAATACGCCTTAGTAAGTGTGTGTGTGTGTGTGTGTGTGTGTGTGTGTGTGTGTGTGTGTGTGTGTGTGTGTGTGTGTGTGTGTGTGTGTGTGTGTGTGCGTTTATATATATATATATATATATATATATATATATATATACATATATATATATATATATATATATATTATATATATATATATATATATATATATATACATATATACATATATGTATTAGTAAAAACACTCATTTTTTTCTTCGACAACTTGTTTCAACATCAGTATTTTTATCAGGAAACTTCCTGATGAACCTACTGATGGTAAAACAAGTTTTATATCGGTTTTTATATACAAAAAATTTTTTATGGATTGATTTCTATTTTGCAAATAATCAATCCATAAAAAAAATTGTATATAAAAACCGTTATAAAATAACAAAGCTGAGTGGTTTTGTTTTTTTATAACAGTTTTTATATACTTTATAATGAGGGTATCTATATTTCCTTGAAATATCATAAAAATAAATATAATTTTTGCTAATAGAAATCAATCCATAAAAAGAAGTTTTATTTTAAAATATTTATACAAATAAAATCTATTGAAGATGTCAATATTTAAAATATATATATATATATATATATATATATATATATATATATATATATATATATATATATATATATATATATATATATATATATATATATATATATATATATTATATCTGTGTGTGTTTGTGTTAATAACCAATATTAATAAAGTAGTAGTTTAACATATAAACACTGCATATGAAATATTTATTTCTTTTATTGTTACTATTAAGTAATTTTAATAAAGATACAGTAAATTTAAGTTTAATATTTTTTAGCACTAGAGGCCTTTCAAAAAATCACTACTGATGATTTTTTGAAAGGCTCTTAGTGCTAAAAAATATCGAACTTAAATTTAGTTTAAGTATTAAAAATATTAAATTAAATTTTGTTTTTAGCACTAGAGGCCATTCGAAAAATCACTACTGAAGATTCTACCTTTAGATTTCAGCCTTCAGAGTTATAATCATTCCAATAATTCCAACATTTACTTTAAGGCACTTATTCATTTGCACGGCAGCTGCTCAAAACAAGTTGAATAATATGTTCATAAAAATACATTTTTCAAAGAATATATATGTTATGTTCTATATACTATTTTTAATTTGATTATAAATTCAAATACAACAAAATTCTCTAATAAAACAATACACGATTCTCTCATTTGAGTTTAAGCGCTGCGCACGCATGTTAAATGACATGCGCAAACCTAGCGGAGGTAAACAAACATTTATTTTTATAATTTGACTTGAATTACTGCGAGAAGGTCATAAAAGAAATATAAATGTCTACTCATTGTGCTGTTAAAGATTGTAAAAATGGTCAATATAGACTTATTAAATAGAGACAGGAAATTTGAAAAGTTCACGTGACAAGAAGAGAAGAAAAAAACTGTAATTGCATAGAACCTTTTAGGTATAGATAAACTAGACTACTTCTTTCATAATAATAGTGTTATATAACACTATAATTATAGTGTATTATAATAGTATTATATAATGTATTATATAGTGTATTATATAGTGTTATATAGAATAATGCATAATAACAGTGTTATAATACACTATAATTATAGTGTATTATAATAGTATTATAATACACTATAATTATAGTGTATTATAACACTATTATTATGCATTATTCTATATAACACTATATAGTGTATTATAACACTATTAATACTAATAATTTACACAACATCCATATAATATGTACATAATACTCTATAATTATAGTGTTATATAACACTATTATTATGAAAGAAGTAGTCTAGTTGATCTATACCTAAAAGGTTCTATGCAATTACAGTTTTCTTCTTCTCTTCTTGTCCCGTGAACTTTGCAAATTTCCTATCTCCATTTAATAAGTCTATATTGACCATTTTTACAATCTTTAACAGCACAATGAGTAGACATTTATATTTCTTTATGACCTTCTCGGAGTAACTCAAGTCAAATTATAAAAATAAATGTTTGTTTACCTCCGCTCGGTTTGCGCATGTCATTTAACAAACTCAAATCAGAGAATCGTGTATTGCGCTAAAATATAATAGCAGGATTCCAAAATGGCCGAAAACTGTTTAAACATTAAAACCTGTAACACACTATACGCATTCTAAAAAAATTTTATATATATATATATATATATATATATATATATATATATATATATATATATATATATACATACATATATATATATATATATATATATATATATATATATATATATATATATATATATATATATATATATATAAGTTTAAAACCCCTCAATTTCAGAGGGTTGTAAATTATAAGGCCATAAATGTTGAACGCTAAGAGATTATTGTGTGAGTTTTAAAATTTAGAGTTGAATATAAACTTGGTCAAAAATGGTAAAAAAAATATTTTATCAACTTAATGCTCTCACGTTTGGGGCAGGTGTAGCTAAAATATTAGGACTTTTTTGTTTTTACGTTCCAACCATTGCAATTTTTTTGCAAGGCATCCTTATTTGATATAAATATAAACATGTAAATATTTCGAGTTTGCTCTATTTCTGGAAGTTAGTTTGCTCTATTTTTGGAAACTGTGTTATAAGAACTCGGTTTGGTAAATATATTTGTTGAAGACCACATTATGAGAAACACAGAAATTATCAAAACATGCAATTTTTAATATATAATTTAAACCGCGTTATATGGAAATTTCTGTCCTGTTATACAGAAACAGTGTTATAAGAAACACAGATGTAGTATAAATTGAACCTTTGCGTACCGCGTTGCATAGAATTATAGAAATAAATAATTGGTTTTTTTTAGAAATAAATAAATTGTACACAAATAAACTTAATTTAATCTAATTTTATCATATATGGTAAATTATTTATTTCAGAAAATTAAAAAGTAAATTAAAAAAATTGTTTGTAACAAAAATTAAAATATTGGATTGTGAGTTCTGTTTTTATTCGTCACTTTTAACAAATATTAGCCAACAAATCCGTCTTCTTTTCTTTTCTCTGACTGGCTGATAATCCTCTACATTTTTAAAATTTTCTTCTTGGTTCCCAAAAAAAGCTTTATATTGCAGTTCTTTCACAACCTCGTTGTATGGAGCTAAGCAATTTTGAAATTCTCTTTAAACTTTTTCACTGCGTATTATTAAAGAATCATTTTGTGCAAATTGGAATTCTAATTCTTCAGCCAAATTCTGCTTTAAGTTTTTACGAAAATCACGTTATACGGAGTGTTATAGGAAAGCAGCTCAAACTTTCATCACGCGTTATATGGAGATTCTTTTATCACGCGTTATATGGAGATAACCTTTCTACAAATAAAAACTTAGGTCTAACAGCCTAGATTTAGATAAATAACTAAAAATTTTAACATCTTATCTTTATTTACAATTTAAGCACACAAAAACTATAGTTTTTTTTGCTAGTATATTAAGCTATTTATTTTATTATTCTCTATAAACAATCACCTTTTAAATTATCGACCAAATTGAGTTTTGCTGTATGTACCCAGCTTGCAAACTTACATTGGCCAACGTATGCAAAACCATTGCAAATGTCGGCTCTCATTTCCAATGCAAAACCAACGTTGATCCAATGTCATTTGGTTAATGATAAAATTATTACCGACGGAACTAAAAACATCTGGGAAATTTACATTAGTCCAATGTATGTAAAAACATCGCAAAAAGTTGATTGTTTTTACGATCTAAACCCAATATTGATCCAATGTATATATTTCGACGTTGATTCAATGTATATAAATCAACGTTTTTACAATGTATGTAAAAACATTAAGAAAATTTGATTGTTTTTACGATCTAAACCCGACGTTGATCCAATGTATATAAATCAACGTTTTTCCAATGTATGTAAAAACATCGCAAAAAGTTGATTGTTTTTATGATTTAAACCCAATGTTGATCCAATTTATGCGACCAAATATTGCTATTGCGAAATTATATAATTTAAATAAAATCTTCCGTGATTATTAAAATATCAAACCACAATCAACACAAACATGATTTTTGTTGGGATGATCAAGCGATTATAGCATTATTTATTTATATTATTATTCATCAATTATATAATATTAAGTAAGAAACTAAATTCCGAATAATATTGAATACAATGTTTGCCGATTAAAGTTCAACGTTAAATCAACGTTCAATACAACTTAAAAAACAACGTTCGGCCAACGTATAAAATAAAATTTTGAATCAACGTAGAAAATATAACCATTTCCCGACTAAATAAACGTTTTAACAACATTGGTTTTTAGTTGTTGGCGACGTCGCTTTTGTAACCATAATGATGTAAAAACAACGTTGGCAGCCGATGTTGGGCCAACGAAACGTGCGACATTGTTCTAATGTTTTAACAACGTGTGTGTGCTAGCTGGGTAACACTAATGTTCCTAAAAAAGAAAAAACTTTATGCGTAAATGTAAACAAGAATACAACAACAATAAAACTTTGCTTTATTATTGAAAATTACTTCACTTTCATCAAACCTTGTTATATCATTTATTTTAGCATAATATAATTATGAATCTTTAAACTCAGTCTTTTCACCCAAGATATCCATTGCAGATAAAGATATTTTGAGACTTTAGGTATCGTAGTTCCATATATATTGCAGATTACAAACCTGTTAGAAAAAAAAGCTCGAACTAAGTAAAATATTAATAAAAAACTGAAAATTAAATTAAATACAATAAATATCTTTTAAAAAAGGAAAAGAAAACATTTAATAACATACTTGCAGTTTATCATAACAATAAAGTGCAGCAATGCATCGCTGAAATTTTTTTTAATTTGTTGAAGAAATGTTTTAGGTGTTATTTATAATGTATTATTATGTATAATGTATTATTTAGCAACTTGTTAAAAATACATTCACATTTTTTAATATTTCGAAAAACATTTATCTGGTTTTATTTAGCATAAAATATTGAATAAAAACAGATGAACTTACATTTGGAAGATTTGTGCACTTTAATCCCAGGACTTGCTTCTCTAATGTGCAAACAATTGTGATGTTTCATTAATGGTTCTAAAATTGATATTAAATAAAAAAATACAAAAATTACACACTTTAGTCTTATATATAAACTTACATTGAAGTATTAGTTAAGAATATTAAATATAGCAACAATTTTGAAAAGTTCTAAAAAAAACATCTATATATTATAAAAACATAGATGTATGTATGTATACATACATACATCTATGTATGTATGTATACATACATACATACATATATGTATGTATGTATGTATGCAGGGGCGGATCTAGCTATTTTTTTTGAGGGGTGCTGGCAAATATGTGCTGTGCTGCGACGATGACGGGGTTTTACCACTAACCCCCCCCCGTGCTTTGCGGGGGGTGGGTGGGTGTATGAAAGGGGGTGGTTATTAAAAAGGTTTTTATAAAGTACGGGGGACGGGGGTCACCCAAAAGCGTACAAGTTTGTTTAAGAGGTGTTCAAGGCAACGAATACGTATGTAGTTTGACTATATTTTTCATCAACTTTTTTAAAAATATTCAACCTCCTTTTTTTAACAAATGAAAAGGCTATATCCCTCAGGGTCTTTTACCTGTCTGCCCGTCTTTTTATACCCTATAAATTGCCCGTATTTTGATTAAATAATCAGATCAGAAAGGTTACAATTCTTATAAACATATCAGTTAATAAAAATGATAATAAAAATAATTACTCTTGCCTGCCGAATAAACGGAAGGAGACGTTTATTAATTTTTTCCGACCCCTCGGAGCTTATTAGGAACCCCCCCCCTGATTATTAATTTTGAAACAATATAAAATATTTTTGAAGTTTTTTAACTTTGAGAAAAATATTTCTCTCAATAATAGATGAAAATACGAACAACCAACCAAAAAAACTATTTTAAGACGACCCTTTGGTTTATTAAGATTCCCACCCCCCACCCCCACCCCGTTTATTAGATTTTAGAAAAATTTCCGACCCTCCTATTTATTAGGACAACCCCCTCCCCCGTTTATTCGGCAGGCGAGAATATTGTGCGAAAGTAATTTTGTGTACATAAAAATATTTTGTATGCAAAGTAATGCAGCAACTATTTATTGGCAGTAATCGACCGTTATACGAAGAAACAATCAATAATGATACAATAATTTCATGAACCCAAACAATGAACACACAATTTATTTATTATTCGTACGACATATAACATAAACTAGAAATAGCATAAGAATTGAACAGTAAAACCCAGTTTTGAAATGTTAAAAGTAAACAAATTTCTTACCCTAACTGTACTAAATTTCTTTTTCTAAACTGTTAGCTTATGACCAATAAAGTAAATTTCAAATCATGAAGCTTTACTAAATTAAAACCATATTTCAACAGTAGGAAAACTAAAAAAAAATAGTAGAATAGTTACAAAATGAAGAACTGATGAAAAAAAACTGTTAATAAAAATCTAGTTTCAATGAAACTCAAAATTTGCTTCTAATATGATCTTAAACAGAAACTTGAAAATATATAAAGTAACCATCTAGTTTAACTTCTAAAAACACCTGAATCCTGCACATTATATTGCAATTATAACACAAGTGTATTACAACTCACAATTAAAAATAATTATTAATATTATGATACAATAAGTTTATGCACATAATATACCTAAAATATATAATTATAAACAATAACTATTTATAAATTGTAATAACAATAATAACATTAATAATAAACTTTTACACTAAATACATTAATAATCATCTAGTTTAACTTCTAAAAACACCTGAATCCTGCACATTATATTGCAATTATAACACAAGTGTATTACAACTCACTATTAAAAATAATTATTAATATTATGATACAATAAATTTATGCACATAATATACCTAAAATATATAATTATAAACAATAACTATTTATAAATTGTAATAACAATAATAACATTAATAATAAACTTTTACACTAAATACATTAGGAATAGTGAATAGATTTGATAACATTATATAACACTGTTTATAAACAAAGTTATGCAACAGTAATAAAATAAAAGTTTCATGATGTTCTGAGTTTCATGATAGTCTGGGGTCATTTATTTTCCAAGGATATTCCCTAAACATATAAATAAAAATGTAATAACAGACTTATTTTTAAATCCAGTTATAATTTAAACTTTAATTATAATTAAACTATAATTATTACTATCAATAATGCTAATTTATTTATAATGAAAACTTTATAATTATGTCTGATAACTCAAACTTTTACTCAAGTCAGATTTTTAATTCCCAATGAACTTTCTATACATACCGAGAGCTTCCCCTAACTCTGACATTCGCTAAGTCTGACTATTTATCTATTCCCCTTGAGAGTCAGACTTAACAAGATTCTACTGTATATATTTTTTGAAGTATAATTTCATGCTTAAAAAAGACAACAAAAAAACTGCAGAACTTTCTAGGACCACTATTTAAATTACTCTATAAAATATATAAAACAGTAAATAGTATATTTATATTATACTATTAAATAAAACAGTTTAAATTGGATCTGAATTTAAAATATCTACAAGTTTCATTCTACGAGGATTTTTCCTAGCAAAACAAATTAATCACTTCATTCACATCAATGCTGATACCTTGGTGAACATGCATTAAAGCTAGACTATTAAATCTATTCTGTGACATTGTGTTAGATAGGTTTTTAAATGACAATTGATCTTTCGCAAGTGCATGTTGTTATTGAAATAGTTGCAAGAATTTGAATTAAGGTAAATAAATTAGGAAAAGTTATTCTATCAATAAGAGTAAGGAGTTTGGTTAGAGAATGGGAATTTTTAAAACTACGCCAATAATCTTCCCACACGTTCTATTCGGTCATGATATAGCGTGGTTCCGGATGTTCATCCTCATACTCATTTAAAAAAAGAAGAAAGTTGCTTCTCCATTCAGCAACATTTAAAGCGTATGCTGACATTGCAAAGAATCTATTATAAACAGCAATGTTTCTATTGCTATAAATGGTCAAGAAAGGGAATTGAAATAACTTTCTTGTAATACTCATTAATAGATTCACTAGGACAATTATTTTGATTAAGCTGTTTTCCTATTGTACGAGGCTTGTGCTCATAAACACCAACACTAGCTGCCAATACAACTGCCTCACTATACCAAGCACCATGACTGTATTCAATGTCTGATCTTAGTCGCTGTAAAGCAAGATTTAACAAATTTACTTTTTCATGCGATGCAAAAACATCAAAGTTTGGAGATTGAAATTGTTTTGTAATTGGTCTTGTTACTTCCAAACAGTCGGACACCACTACTAAAATAACAAGAAACTGGAAAGACCTAGTAGCAAAGAAATAACTATTTTCATCACGCACTGAGTCATGATTCCAAGACTTTTAATTGTTATTAATCATTAGCTCAAAGCATTTAATTATTAACAGGAAGTACCTCTATAAACACATCTAAACCATCAATTCTGGCAATCCATTTTCTACGACACACATCTATTAGACAAGAGTGATGAGCTTTTGGAAACATTTTTCTTCATTTTTTTTTCTTTTTCAGAACATCAAAACGCTTTGGACTAAAATTAAAGAACTGAGATATAACACGAACATTTGACATCATATTGCTAACTATTTGTATGTTACAGGCATTTGCAACACAGAGATTGAGGACATGTGATCCACAATGAACATACAATGCTTTTGGATAAATAGTTTTTATTCTTACTGCAGCACCGTAACAGTTCCCAGCCATGTTACCAGCACCGTCATAACCTCGACCAACACAAAACTTTATTTCTAATCCCAAGTCTATAATACTATTCAAAATTTGGCTGGCTATAGCTTCTCCAGACAAACCCAAGTTGCAAGGAATAAAGCCAAAAAATAGTCCACAAATTTCCCAATTATCATTTACAAAGCGTAATACAAGTGGCATTTCTTCCATATTGTTAACATCAGATGCTTTATCTGCTAATATTGAAAATAAAATTTAGCTTTTTTAACTTCACATTTCAATTTAGAAACTATAATGTCATTAGAAATATTAATCAACTCGTTTTGAGTAGTTTTAGAGCGATATGTAGCATTTTTTGGAGTAGAAAATCACCCAATCACCAAACTGTTTTCTGCACAGTCAGATACTAATTTTAAAATCGATTGAAGATTGCTAAAGTTACTATTTTCATTTTCATAGTAAAATGAATCATCTCTGTAACCTCGGAGAGATATGTTTTGTTTTCCACACATAATTATTGCCAGAACTATTGGTTTTAATATTTCTCTACTTTTCTTGACTTACTTTATTGAGATTTTAATTAAACTTATCTTTTGCTCCATACATTGGCAAAAATGAGTTGCCTTTAGAGTTGCAGATTGGTGAATTGGTGAATTTTCAGCTTGTTTATTAAACTTATTATTGGCCTTCATTTTGTGTTTCATTAAAATTGTGTTCATGCTTAAGCATATATTCTTAAGCATGAACACAATTTTACTAAAAAAAAAGTTTTTTAAATTTAAGCACCTAGAACAAAATTTTACACATCTTTCAGCTTAAATAAAAAAAGTTTGTAGTAAAATGTTTAAGCACAAAAAGCTATAGTATAGCTTTTTGTATAGCCTATACATGATTTCTTAATTTGCTTTTATTTTAACCATTAATCAACACAACACACACACACATACATAAATACTTCGTTTGTTTTTTTATTTTATTATAAAAATTTTATTTATAATATATATTTTTTGAATTTAATATAATTATTTAAGAAACAAATTATTACCTCTCTGGTTGAAAATCACTTTCTACTCGAAATGATTGAGATACAGGAAACTGCATATTTGAAACTTTGCATGTTTTATTCAATACACTTACTTTAGATTTTTCATCAAATAAAATATTTATCTCAGTTTACTATGAGCTTCGACAATAACATTAGATAAAAACGATTCATTTTCTGATTGAACCCTATTTTCATCTAAAACACATTTTAAAATGAGTTGAAGCATTGAGTCCGCCATGTTTAGAACACTTAACCTACGAATTAACCAAAAGTTTGGTGAAAAACCTTTTTTCTGATTTTTGCGTGATTGGCTTGCACCCCTCAGAGATCTTTCTGATTGGCTCAGCACCCCTCAGAATCTGTTTTGATTAGCTTAAAAAACCAAGCCAATCAAAAATAGCTTCTGAGGGGTGCAGGCCAATCAAAAATAATTCTGAGGGGAGCAGGCGAATCAGAAAGTGACTATACGGGAGTTTCCTAGTCGAAGCATAAATATATATAAAATACGCGTGGAACGGAAAGTACTACACAACAACAAAGGTAATTATTTATTTATTTTCGACTTCCTTCACAAAAAATGAAATCGCAAATTTTGAGTTGAATAAACTATTTTAACAATTCAATTTTTATTTATAAAAAAATGCAACGAAATTAAAAACTTTATTTGTTAAAAGTTGACGGGTGCTGGAGCACCCTTTGAACCCCTCTGGATCCGCCCCTGGTATGTATGTATGTATGTATGTATGTATGTATGTATGTATGTATGTATGTATGTATGTATGTATGTATGTATGTATGTATGTATGTATGTATGTATGTATGTATGTATGTATGTATGTATGTATGTATATATGTATGTATGTATGTATGTATGTATGTATGTATGTATGTATGTATGTATGTATGTATGTATGTATGTATGTATGTATATATGTATGTATGTATGTATGTATGTGAAGCTACAAGAATCTCTCAATTTAAAATAAAGATTTCACTATTTATTTAACAAAATTATTTTCAGAAACAAATCACTAACAAGTTTAACGAACAACGAACACTCTGAAAACAAAGCAAAAATCTACAAAAATCAAATTAAACAACTATAGTAAATTTTTTTAAGTTCTAATACAGTCAGCTCTCCTATAACGCGATATTCCTTCAATCCCAGTGAGCACAAGTACGTTTTGTAAACGTTTTATTGTCGCTTGAAGGACGTTTGTGTAAGTAAAACGTTTTAAATATTTGTTGCAATTTTAAAATTAAATATGAAATTATGTGAATCTCATTTTAAAGTTATATATATATTTTTATTTATACAATTTGATATTTAACTATACTTGTAAAAAAAAAAGAAAAAATCTAAATAAAGTATTATTAAATAAATAAAAAATTAATGGAAATCCGCTTTCCTGGTTGCCGTTAACGAATTCTGAAAAACAATAATTAGGTACCAAAAGTGCTACACTTTTTAGGCTGTCTGCCGGATTTTTTTTTTTTTTTAAGAAAATCAACAAGTAGGGGAGAGCGGGGTTGGTTGTCACACTTTTTACATTTTAGGCTGCTCAGCTTTTAATTTTCATCCAATCAATGCCAAACTTTGCACAAAGCTAATTTAACTATTTCCAGTAACTATTATAATATTTTTATGACATTGAGTGAAATATTTATTGCTGTAAAATCATTTTTCAAAGACCACTTCTGTGTGACAACTAGCCCCGCTCACGGGGTAGGTTGTCACATGGTGCGGGGTTGATTGTCACATTTGGATTTTGACAAGTTTAGATAAGAATTTAATGTAAAACGAGTACAAATTAATTTCGTTTATGTTTTACTAAGAAAAACAAAAATAAAATACTATAAACTGAAATATATATATTTTAAATATAACACAATTAACAAATTTAGTTTATCACTATAAATGTTTTTAGGTTTGGTTTTTTAAAAATTATTGGATAAAGAACACAATTCACAAATAAACTGTTGTAAGCCTGGTGTGCATTCTTCATGAGCCCATTTTTGGCAAACCTGACATTGAATCCACTGTTCTCTTGATCGGCTGTTGGAAAATGATTCAAAACAATAGATGCACAGATACTCTTTATCTTCAGATGAATTTAAGACTATAGAAGGTTTTTTCGTAGCAAGATTTGCTTTTATTAATTCTTTTTTACTTCCATTAGTAAATTTTTTTTTATTAGTTTTCTTCTTTTTATAATTAGCAAGCCATGCTTTGACAGGCGTGTTAGTAAGAATCATAGTTGACCGCTTTTTCCTACCTCTTTTTGATGCTAACCTCGGACCTGCTTTAGGCAGAGGCCTAATACTCTCAGGTGGTATGATTGAATTGTTAAAACCTAATGTTGTGATTGGGTTCTGATTAGGGGTTTTATTTAATACAACTGGATCTTCTATTGTTATGTCTACCTGATTACCTGGTATCTGAATAGATTCTTTAAATCTTTTATTTGATGGTTCTGGTTGCATTGAATAAGATTCACAGTCTTTTTTATTTGAACCAGCCTGTGAACAAGGTGGGTCAGGGCGATCAGTTACATAGTTAGGACAGTAATCAATTTCAGTAAACACATCAGGATTTAACGGGTAAATACCTGTTGCAGAAAAACCACTTAAAATATTGTGGGGAGATACAGCCTTTGGAAATGCAATGTTTACTATTTTTGGAATATCATATATTGTAACAGTTTTTCCAAGATTCATTACTAACCATGATGTCATAGCAGTATTTATGTAGTTTTTGAGAGGACCATAAACTGCCTTATCCATGGGCTGCAATTTATGTGTGCAATGTGGTGGGAAGGTAAGCATTACTATTCCATTATTTTTTGCCAAATCTAATCCTTCAATACTAAGATGAGTTTCGTGATTGTCAAGCAACAATAAACAAGGCTTTTCTTTAGTACATTTTGTATTGCCTACAAAATGTTTTAGATATTTTACAAAGTTTTCTTCTTTCATCCAACCACTTGGATTTGCATCTCCTGCACTTCCTGTTGGTGCACTGATTAGGAAATGATCTTTAAAGTTTTTACGAGGAAAAATAAAAAAGGGTGGAATACTATTTCCAATAGCATTTATTGTGCATGCTAATGTTACAAGAGTTCCTCTTTCAGCTGACGTGATGGCTCCTACTTGTTTTAATCCTTTTTTCGCAATAACCTTTTTAGGTTGCTGTACAGTAGTTACAGCAGTTTCGTCCATGTTCCAAATGTCATTTGGTGAGAACGAGTATTTTTGCATACAGTGCTGCAAATTGCTAAAAAATGATGCAACATTCTGCTTATTGAAACTTGTCGCTCGACTTAAACTAGTAGCTTCAGGTTGCCTAATGGAAATATTTGAATGGCGCTTTATAAATCCTGTAAACCAATCCTTACCAGCTTGTTCCTTTACAACCCAAGAATTGGGAACCTTCATATTATTTTTAATTGCTAGCTGGAAAGCAAGCTTTTTTACTTCGGTAGGAGTTAAACCAAAATATATATCTGCTGCTCGCAACAGGTAGGTGACCAGTTCTTTTTCTACTTTTTCTGGCAATATCAATCGACTTTTGTATCCTATAACATTCAGGGAGGTGGGGTTTTCAATTTTGTCAATTAGATCTGCTATAGAACCATGTGATGGGTTAGTAATAATAATTTTTTTACAATAACGTGCTAATGTTCTGTAATTAATGCCATGGTTTTTTGCTGCTGATCTAATAGAAATGTTATTAATCTTTACATCTTTAACAGCACACATTATGACATCTCCAGAAGTATAACCTCTATTAGTTTTTCTTTTAAAATTTCGTACCATGTTTATTACTAAGCAAATAAAAATATTTGCAAATAATGTAAACAAAACATTAATATATATATATATATATATATATATATATATATATATATATATATATATATATATATATATATATATATATATATATATATATATATATATATATATATATATATATATATATATATACTCATATAGTGTCGCTTTAAGAGCATTTTAATGTAAAAAAAGTCTCTTACGACTACAATTTTAATTACCTCGTCTCTTAAGCTGTTTTTGATTGTCATCGAAATGTCAAAGCAATTATTTTATGCGGAAGTACATTAAATTTAATTGTTTTTTAAAAAATTTTTAAAAAACCGCAATTATAACGACTAGAAAGTTTTTTTTAATTAGTGGTGTTTTTGTTATTGATTTAATAAAAAACATTTTTTAAACATGCGTAAATGTTGCTACATCGACTATCTTATAGCCTGACTCGCAACGGAGTGCTGCTACATCGACTGACAAATAGCCTGAATCGCAACGGAGTGCTGCTACATCGACTGACAAATAGCCTGACTCGCAACGGAGTGCTGCTACATCGACTGACAAATAGCCTGACTCGCAAGGGAATGCTGCTACATCGACTGACAAATAGCCTGACTCGCAAGGGAGTGCTGCTACAACGACTGACAAATAGCCTGACTCGCAAGAGAGTGCTGCTACATCGACTGAGGGTTTGGTTTGGCCAGGCAGTCTATCAATTAAAAAAAAAACTTAATTTTCAAAACTTTTTCTGGTCTGGTTTATTAACGCGCTCTTTAAAACTACAGTTTATGGGAAATATTTTTTGATGCTACGCAAGAGACATGCAAGACTATATATATATATATATATATATATATATATATATATATATATATATATATATATATATATATATATATATATATATATATATATATATATATATATATATATATAAATTATATCAAGTTATTGTACATTATATATGTCCAAATTTGAGACTAATCATTGGCCAGATATAGTACAATCGCTAAAAATTATACTATAATATTGTACATATAAATTTTCAAATAAAGAAGAATTATTTTACAATTTACAAAATACGCATAAATACTTATACAGTTTTAACAACATTATATGCAAATATTACTTTCAGTATAAGCAATTTACAAAGGCATTTAATTTTTCTATTTTATTTTTTTTCATTTTTTTTTACGGAGACATAAAACTATCAGCATCATCAAAAAAGTACAACGTTGCCGGTTCGGTAAAATGGAAAGGTTTTGTAACCTATAACTCTTACGTCAGATTTACGTTAGATATTAACGTTATATTAACGTAAACATCTAAAGTTAAATTAACGTTATACTAAGATAATGTAAGTTGGAAAAAGATTGGCGTTTTACATCAACGTAAAATATTGATTGTATTTGTGTAATATTTAACGTTAAAACAGCTTTACATTTATATTTATATAACCCTGAGCCAAAGCCGTTTTCGTGTCACAGTTATTATTTTGTTTTTATGTCATAGTTATTATATGAACATAACCGTATAGTTATATTAACGTTAAATGTTTAACACATTTACAATCAATATTCAAAGTTTTTATAAGGGTTTTCAACCCCTTACAAAGGGTTAGAAAAATAGTTTTAGGGATATCCAAACTAAAAATACAATAAATGTTTTTAAAGAGTTTTTTTAAAGATGTATTATAAACTCTTTTTATAATACATCTTTAAAAATATTATAAATTTACAAAAAACTCAAAAATAAATAATTGTTTAACAATCACTTGCTTCCTCATTAAATTTCTTATTATTATAAATTTACAAAAAACTCAAAAATAAATAATTGTTTAACAATCACTTGCTTCCTCATTAAATTTTTTGCTACCATTAACAAATGGAGAGACCCTTAAAATGCTTCCTATTTGATCATTTAATTGTACTTCCGTCCAAAACTCGTGCATTAGCTGAATGACTTCTAAAATACAATATGGGATACTGTAAACGGGATGACAGTTAAAAATATATTTTTTACTTACAACTGACAATTTGTTTGAATTTTGCCGCTAACCTTCAAGGTTCAAGACTTATAGGGCATGCTATCGGAAAAATCTGCCCAGCTTTTGCGGTGTAGTGAAGCTAGTTAACGGTCGTTTTTTGAAATTATTTTTCTGTGTGTGGTAGTATTTGTATAATAGAACAATTTGGCAGAAAAAATAATTAAAAATATTATTTAGCTTCAAAATGTTAACCGAGCAAACTAAACAAAGATTTTGATTGTGGACAAACACTTAAAAAATTCAACTTTATCGAATAGAAAGTTGGCGAAATCATTAAAAATATCAAGAACTGTAGATACTGTCCTTAAACGGTTTACAGAACAGAAAACTATTCAGAGAAAACAAGGAAGTGGTCGAAAAAAACGCACAGCAAATCCTAGAGCTCTCAAGCGGTTGGAGACTTCATTGGAAGAACATCCTGATTGGTCTGATAGATTTCGAGCAAAAAAACTAAAGGTTTCCAACTTTTTTGTACAAAAATGGCGAGAGAGACTTGGATATCAACGTTTTAAAGTAGTCAAAATGCCAAATCGCAACGATAAACAAAATTCAACCGCAAAGAGTCGAGCTCGAAAGTTGTATGACAACTTGTTAACAAAACATAATGGATGCATTTTGATGGATGACGAAACTTATGTAAAAATGGATTTTAAACAAATTCCTGGGCAGTGCTACTATGCTTCTAAAATAAAAGGAGGTGTGAGCGATAAATAAAAGTATGTAATGACTGATAAATTTTCGAAAAAATTGATGATTTGGCAAGCACTTTGCTCTTGCGGTAAAAAATCGCCAATTCATGTTTGTTTAGGCACAATGAAATCTTCGGAATTCGTGAAATGTTGTCTTTCTTGTATAAAACGACTAATTAAAGCTTATAGAAGTACTTCAGTATTGTTTTGGCCTGATTTAGCCACAACACATTACTCAAAAGATGCTCAAAAATTTTACGATGATAATGGAGTGATGTTGGTTTCGAAAAAGATGAATCCTCCAAACTGCCCCGAATTACGTCCTATTGAAAAATTTTAGGTCATCATAAAAAATAAATTGAAATTAAGTGGAAAAAAAGTAAAATCAGCTACAGATTTGAAGAAAAAATGGAATTGCGCTGCTAAAATCAACAAAAATCACTCTGTCCAGAAACTTATGAGAGGCATCAAAAAAAAAGTCAGAATTTTTTGTAAAACTTAATTTTTTTTTTGTTTTTTTTTTCTATTAATATGTAATCTTTACAGTTTTAATTTTTCAGAAATATATTGATTTAAATACATTTAAGCTTTTTACATCTTTTTTTGATCAAGAAAAGTGGGCAGATTTTTCCAATAACATGCCTTATAAACACTAATGTATACTGTATCTCAGAATACAAAACATGTAAGGAAGAATAGAAAAACCAATATTGAGCTATTATTAACGTACCAATTATTGCTTTACACAACTTTTTATTTTGGACTAATACCTTCTTCATATCACCACGAATTTTGGTTTTCATATTCAACTTGGCAATAAAATGATGCTCCATAATTCTATAAAAATGTAATAACAAATAATAATGGAAAATAACTACTTTGTTATATAACATTAAGCGATCCAGCGAACTTATTTAAATAATTGTAAATACACATTAGAGTAATAATTCACAAAGCATGACTCGGAAAGGTTCTTTATTTTTTTACAAACTTTTATATTCAAAGTTTCGACATTGAATTAAAGCTGAAACCTGTAGGGGAGAATCTAAATGAATTGGGCAGTTTTTGAAAAATACTTTTTAAAGTTGCTAAAGTTGTTTAATTTATACATTGAAAATTATTGATAACCATTTACTCTCACACTATGTGAGAGTTAATAGTTAAATTTACAAAAAACTCAAAAATAAATTAAACTTCACTTCTCACACTAAAACAAAAAAAATGTTTCGACCAGGAGAAATGTGCTATTACTTCCCATTAATGCAATATTTCTAATGTTATGTTTGGCCCATCATATGGCACAGTCTGTAATTTGTTGTGTTTAACATTTCTTACCTCAGGAGTTTGAATATCTAACTAACCTTAGATGCTTTTATGTAAATTTGATTTTGTCCCATTCAATAAGTGTTAACGTTCTCCTCAAATATTAATATTAAAATTGTTTGTTTTTCTAAATTACTTTCCTTGGGCTAGATTTTTCTATAAAATTTACTCACAATTTAAACAGTTTGATTATTATGAGTTAAATAAAAGTATATACCTGACCATACCATTTTTTGTATTTTCTTTAACGTTTTTCCACCTGCCTTTATGAGGTGACAAAGCTAAAACATAAATAAAAGTTTAGAGAAAACTTCATGTTGGAATAAGACAGGATTAGATTTATTTGGTTGTTTTCACAGTTGTTCTACACCTTTTCAAGATGTAAATGAGAACATGAAAGTTGTAATTAAGAAGTCGTAATATGTAATTAAGAAACACAACATGTAATTGAGAAACACAACATGTAAAAAAGAAGTCGTAACATGTAATTAAGAAACACAACATGTAATTGAGAAAACGTAAGATATAATTGAGAAATCATAATATGTAATTGAGAAATCGTAACTTGTAATTGAGAACACATAAATTAAATAGCAAATTCACAGTCTAAGTTTGTAGGTTGTTACAAAAGGTCTTTTTTGACATGAATTTAAGTTATAATCTTAAATTTTGCTTTTGTATGCACAATTAATAATAATGGAATTGAAAGATCGTTGTGTTATATGCCAATACACTATGACCCGAAAGTCTGTGATTAAGCTAAATCCGTGTCAACATTTATGTCACTAAATTTGTTTACGTCCAGTTCTGGAACAACCAGATTTAAGTTGTCCAATTTGTCGGCATGAAATACACACAGCTGAACAAGTTGAAAGGAAACGTTACGTTTTATCTTCTCCAAATGACAGGAGAAGAGTTGTTGAAAGTGC